CCCGCTATTGGTCGCCTCTTACGACAGGCACTGTTTGCTGAAGACCAATTTAAACCCGGATCTTCACTGGTTACAAGGTCAAGGCCTGACAACAGAATGTCGTCGAGTTTCAGTCGGAAATGCCTAGAATACTGTCATTTGACCCAAACTTATATGCGGCGAAAGAGGGTCCAATGTCGCGTGCAGGATTATTCCACCCATACATAACGTGCCGTAAGTGTATTAGTTTGTCTCAGACACCCTGAACCACATTATTTTCCCTAATGCCTACTTTCCTTGCAATGCTAAAGCCCTAAATGAAGCAAGTCCATCTCACTCTTCTCACTGGGGCTGCTATTCAATTTAAATGGGTTTATTTGTTACTATAAAAATTATATTCAGAAACTAAGCGATAGTATACTTTGTAGGTACCCGTGAATATCCGGGTTAGACTTGATCTTCAGTAACCCATGCTTGTCGTAAGAGGCGACTAACGGGATCGGGTGGTCAGGCTCGCTGACTGGGTTGACACATGTCATCGGTTCCCAATTGCGCACATCGAAGTTAATGCTGTTGATCACTGGAGTGTCTGGTCCAGATTCAATTATTTACAGATCGCCGTCATATGGCTGGAATATTGCTGAGTGCGGCGTAAAACTAAATCCACTCACTCACTCACGTATGTATGTGTGCCTGTAGCTGTTTGCAGTAGTCTGTCTACTGACAGTTATAATATTGGTGAGACACCATGTCGCAGATAAACATTGCTACTCCAGCGAGATAAGATGGGGCAGCGGGGTACCTAGTGGATAAAGCCGTTTGTCGCGCGGGTTCGATTCCCCACGTGGGTACGATGTGTGCCGCCGGATTGTTATAAACTGACACACAACCATTCTCACTTACTGAAACACTGTATACTCTCTCCGAGCCAGGTTGTGCTTGTTTTATTACCTTAATGCCGGGCGTCTAAGAAGAACCATCCTGTTTACTATGATGCGACCGTGGATCGAACCACGAACTGCCCATCCACCGTGCAGATGCTTTATCCACTGTATAACGTCAGTGGCCCTGGAATGTCAGTGTGTGAATACGGTTTTACGCCGCTTTACAATATTCCAACCATCATCCCGGCGGGGAACACCAGAAATGGGCTTCACACATTGTACCCTTGTGGGGAATCGAACCTGGGTCTTCAAAGTGAAGAGCGGACGCTTTGACCACTGGGCTACCCCACCGATCCACCACTTCATGAAACCACACAACAAACCATAATATTTAAATAGTCAAAATGTATAATCTGCCCTTTTATCATGTGTATAAGGCAAACTGTCTTTATAACGATCACCATTTCATACGAGCTTCCGATGACGGGATCTGACAGGATACTGATTAAAATGTAAACGTTATATCGCTACTCCAGTTCTGCTACTTTGTGTAGTTCGCGGAATAAGCCGAGCAGATCCGAGTGCAACGTGTGTGTCATTACGTGAGTATAAGAGCTTTCTGAAATATTTACGCTCAACTGGGAGTTCTACATGATCACAATTAAGGCATTAAGTGCCAATATAACATTCTGGTAAATTGGTGCCTTTTGAGATCACAGTGCAGGGGGAATACATATGAACTGATTGTAGGCTATATGCGTATGGGCCTGTCGTCCGCCATCCACATCTGAACGATGGGCTCGTCATATATTTCCCGAAACTTATCGTCGACAGAGATTTAAAGTGTTTACAATATTGGTCACCTATAAATGTTTTGTAAAATGTATTAATACATTTTCCACTGCGATTGAAACCCGTATGGGTAGGTTAGGTAGAGATGTCAGGTATTGGTCACATTAACTCAACGTGTTTTAGGACACATGTAATTTTATATTGGCACACCTAATGTGGTTTAGTGATTATAGCCAGGTGTTGCGGCACAAGAATAGTTTTGTCCAGTTAGGTTCTCACAAGTGATATTTTTGTCTTTAATAGGCACTTGGATCACCGTGCAAGAAACTGCTATCGATTTCCCTCCTTAAACACAACTTTATTGCCAAGTTTACGTTTATGTGTTAGGAATTAAGGCAATTTCCACCAGACTTTCCATTCTCACGGGCAGAATTAACGCTGTAATCGTTGTCCTGTTATTAGCAATTGAATCCTGTGTTAACAGAATATGTCTCTTAAATAGGTCGTCTGCCTATTTGGTAACTGGTCAAAATATTTATGCTTGGTCGAGTCTAACTCGTCTTATTACGTCAGCTAACACTGAAACAAGCCTGAAAACGACGGTGTAAATCAATCCACGTGCACGATGTCAATTTCAGCTCAGTGCACGTGCCAATCTGAGCAGACGATAGTTAACCCAGCTTGTTGAGGTGACGGACATTAATCTGCGCAGTTGAGTGAAGCGAACGAGTTGCCCTGGGCCGGGCACGGTTGGGAAGTGTGACTGTGAGACCGTTGGGTGCACATTTGATCTGCCGTCGTGGTGTCGAGTCTGCGGGTCACTGACATCATAAGCTGACACACAGGTATATAACCAGTTCTATATTTCAACCGAACGTTAACAACCCAATCGTAATTAGGCATTCAGCATCCTGTCTGGGTGTGCAGAGCTTCATCTGAAAGCTGCGGGTAGACGGGTGGTTAAAGCATTCCTTCATCACGCTTAGACCCGTGTTGATTCCCATATTGGTGCAGTATGTGAAGACGACATCTAGAGTACCCCGTCGTGTTGTTGCTGGAATATTGCTACAGCGCCATAAAACTGCATTAACTCATTTAAACATGCACTATTATTACGATATTTGGTCAGATTTCCCAGAACAGGAAGCTAAATGCATAACTGAAAACATCTATGGACGTAGGCCTATTCAGCACTATTCTTGATGTATATAATAAATATAGGACTATAAATACTGAAAGCTTGATTAGTACTGGGAGGGTGTGCAGTTGACGAGAATACATTAATCACAGCTGCCAAGATTCTAATTGTACGTGCTCTTTGGATGGTCATTTACTGATTTTTCTGGAGGGGAACCTTTTCCAGATTTTTTCGAAATTCCAGATTCGCTTTGACTATTAAAGGACTTTGGCTTGTAATCACCTTACCCACATCTCCTAGTGGGTTTTGTCGTGTGGTAAAAGTCTGAGTACTGCGCCACTTCGGACTTGCCTCTTAAACAGACACACGGTTATGTTACTAAATATTGTTCGAAGCTACCGTAATTTCAAAACGCCTACTCGTTGAACTTCTTAAAGTGGCATTTTAGAAGTTGGGAAGTGCAATATAGACAAACTTTATGGATAACAACTTCTTTATTACGTGAGTGCGACGTTTCGGTACAGATACTTGTACCGTTCTTCTCGGAATGCAGTGTACAAGAATCTGTATCGAAATGTGGCTCTCGCGAAATAAAGCAGTTTTATCCCTAAAGTTTGTCTAAATTGCACCTTCTCGTTTGGTCCTTAATATCCAACAGTTGGCCATCTATTGGTTGAGCATGTACCCGCGAATACCTCGATAATATGTCCTTTGTGGGTATTGCAATATGCCCCTTGTTTTTACGTTATATCAGGTTATAGTAGAATGGAGATGGTTTAATGTTGTTTCACAAATACATTAAAAAAACTGTTGAATCATGGCTTCCTGTATATAATCGAACCTGAACCAGACAAACCAGTGGTGGAAACTAATGAGCAGCATCACCTGCCGAGAGGGTTCGGTGACGAGAGGGTACGGTGACGCGAGGGTACGGTGACGAGAGGGTACGGTGACGCGAGGGTACGGTGACGCGAGGGTACGGTGACGAGAGGGTTCGGTGACGAGAGGGTACGGTGACGCGATGAACGGTGAAGAGGGTATGGTGACGCGAGGGTACGGTGACGAGAAACGAGAGGGTACGGTGACGCACAATGAATCAAGACTGGCATAAAACATTACACTCACAAACAGCATGGTGCTTGTTTCGGATATTTTCAAATGGATCAAAGCAGCTGCTTTCATGATTATGATAAGGAGTGAGTTTGTTTTACGCCGCTTTTAGCAGCATTCCAACAGAAATAGACTTCACACATTGTAACCATGTGGGGAATCTAGAACCCCGGGTCTTGGTCGTGACGAGCGAACGCTTAAACCACTTGGCTACCCCACCGCCCGATTATAATAAGAGATGCATATATGAGAAGTGTTGTACGTATAAGAACCATCTTTTTCTGCCTACAAAAACGATTACGTGTGCATGTGTCTACATATTGCTTATAGAACTGCATAGCCGATATTCATACGTTGAAAGAGGGCTGTACCATGAAAACAAATCATATTGATCTAACACTAGCATGGATATTTCAGAGTAAATTCGTCTACACAGATAAAACGCTAAAGCGTTGTAAATGTGAAAAACATCCTTGTTGACAGTCAAACCTCGTTAAGCTTTATAAATGAGCGTTTAAAGGGAAACTGAATGCCCGAAACCTGAAATGCACGAAGTATGGTTGCTTGGCGTTTTGGAGTTCGTCGTAAAACCATAGTCAATCTGGGGATGGTGCGAACAGATCGCAACATAATAAACACTGACCGCGTTCTGGGGTCCATGAGAACGTGACATAGACAAGATTTACCTGCGAAATCGGCTTCAGACTGCCCGTAACGCTCCTGGCTTACGTGAGATTTGTACAAAGGTCTGCGAGGAGTCGATTACAATAGTATCAGGGCTTCCAGCTGTACGTCCTGTTTTGCTGCCAGGTGACCAGGCGTGCTCGATATGGTCAAGAAAACATGTGAGGTTCAGGCTCTGGAGTGGACGTTAGTCATCTGTACAGATGAGTCGAGGTGTGCTGACCGTCAGGGGTTTTATTGACGTCGGCTGGAACCCTAACGCGTCAATTAAGCCTCTGCATTCAGAGTTCGAGCCTATAGTGTGGGGAGGGAACGATGCAAACTGAACGGTGGGGTGGCCGAGTTGTTAAACCATTCGCTCGTCACGCCGAAGACCCGCGTTCGATTTCCTACGTGGACACAATGTGTGAAGCCCACACCCGGTGTCCCTCGCCGCGATATTGCTGGCATTTTGCTTAAAGCGGCGTAAGACCATACTCACTCTACACTGTATACCACAGGACTCCACAAATGGACACAACTGATCATGATGTAATTATTTTCTCTGTTGGCCATGTCTGTGTTTGCCCTGTTTGCAAAGGTTCATCAATCCTCAGAATCTGTTCCTGCGGTTTGTAAGAGAAAGAAGAGTACCACCAATTATATCTCACGTCAACAAATAGTTGCCGTACATGAAATATACTAGGCACATAAAGAAACTGAGCATACAAAAATTGAAAATCTAAATTTATCAAACCTGTGTAGACACATAAGGATTTAAACTCAGAGATTAGTACCATGTATCCAACATGCATGCACGTGCCACGTTCCGTGACGTCAGTGGGTTCGTCCTTGAGACGTGCAATACGTTGTTGCACGTGCATTCCGGGAAAGAAAAACAGAGCAAATGAATGCCACACAGTACTGTCACTTTGGAAAGCTCAACCCCTGCCCTTGAAATCGTTCAAAAAATTAAACGGCGATTGAAACGCATAGCATGCCAAGGCTCACGTCTGCACAACGTCATGATGCCATTGGGATGGTCCGTGGGGGAATGTCTCAACGACAAGTGGCTGCACATTTCCACTGCCACCTGAACACCATTTCTGCACTGGTGAGACGCAACAAGAACACAAATGACGTCATCGATCGGCCACGTTCTGGACGTCCACGTGTAATAACGCCAAGACAGGACAGATGGATAAAGGTGACCCATCTTCGCCACAGGTTTCAGACTGCAGTGATGACTACCTGAACCATCCCAGGACTTCGCCGTATCCACCCCAACACAGTTCGACAACGTTTACGTCATCGCGGGATCAGACCACGACGTCCCGCCATACGGCCTATCCTGACACAACGTCATCGACAAGCTCGCCGAATGTGGTGCCGAAATCATGTCCGCAGACCCTTGTTTTGGTGGAGAAATGTTGTTTTACAGATGAGTCCAGGTTTAACATTTCCAATAGTGATGGACGTCAACGTGCCTGGGAGAACGCTATGCACAGGCCTGTGTCTTGGAGAGGAATCGCTTTGGCGGTGGTTCCGTGATGATTTGGGGTGGAATAACAGCACACCAAAGAACTCCTTTGGTGATTGTTCAGGGCAACTTAACTGGTGTGGGCTACAGGGATCAGATTCTTCGACCTGTGGCAATTCCTTTTCTGCAACGTCATTGCCATGGGTTAATATTCCAACAGGACAATGCCCGCCCTCATACGGCAAGGGTTGCTATGGATTTCTTTCAACACCACAACGTTGACTTACTGCCTTGGCCTGCAAATTCACCGGATCTCTCCCCGATAGAGCATGTTTGGGACGAGATGGATCGACGTCTACGCCGTCTTCCTCATCCGCCAGATAACGTCCTTGACCTTGCAACAGAACTTGAGAGAATCTGGCGTGACATCCCAAAAGCCTTCCTTGCACGTTTGATAGACTCTATGCGTCGTCGATGCACTGCTGTTCTCAATGCCGATGGTGGACATACCCTCTATTGAGCTTGTGACATGGTTGTTTGACCCGTCCCGCTTGTGGACTCGTGACGTCATTGTGATTGACTTTTCAATCGAAATTCTCCCGACTTATGGTCTCATGATCCCGCCATTAAAGTTTATATGTACCTTTGACATTGTTATCGTACTTATCAACTGGGATAATATTTTGACAATGCACAGTTTCTTTATGTGGCTAGTATATTTCAGCGAATGGACACAACTGATCATGATGTAATAATTTTCTCTCTCTCTCTGTGTGTGTGTGTGTGTGTGTGTGTGTGTGTGTGATGTGTATGTCTGAGAGTCTGTCTGTCTGTCTGTCTGTCTGTGGTTTTAGATATTTATAAATAGCTCTACATGCTTGGTATGATGTAAAGTATCTTGTAGTAACGTAATTTTCCCCCACTCATTTTTAGACGGAAACCAATGCGTGTTTAGTAGCATGAACATAACATATGAATCAATGTTAAAAGTTGGGGTAAAGGGCTCATGAACATAACATATGAATCAATGTTAAAAGATTTCAAACGTAAAATGTGGATGATGGTGTGCATGATTTGTGTTTAAGTTGGTAAATATTTGGTTCTGTTTAATGTATCCCGTTTCAGTCAGCCGTTCAACTGATTGTGATATTAAATTCAGGGTCTTCAAGTAGAGCTTTTATCGTGATCTTCACCCATGCGTCCCATTTCGCCAATGTTAAATAATGCATATTTGCTCCACCAGTGCACAATGCCCTATTCGTACCACACAGAAAATAAAAAATGGCCAAGCACATGTGTAATCTCAATGGGATCACTAATGATCTGAATGACATTTTACTCATGCAGCTATTGAGTCTTACACGGGCTTTGTGATATCTCATAAATAGCTAACATGTAATTTTCCCGTATTTGTTAATGGTTCTCGTCAAGGGAGTCGAACTGTTGTCAAAGTG